AAAATATATTATAATGAACTTAGAAAAATAAAGAACTATAAAGTAAAATTGAATACTATGGAATCGAAAATTCCAAGAAACAGCATGTCACAGATTGAGTGGAAATTCTCGTCCTGAGAAACCATAGCCTTCTGAAAGTAACTCAGTTCTCAGTTCTACAAAGGAAACCTGAAAGTCCTTCAGCATTCCCTACCTACCAACTCATCTTCCATAAGAATGTGGAACAGACAGAAGAAATACTTTCGTGCATGGGAGCTTTGCTGAGGGTGTTTGGGATATGGTATCAGAGACAGAGGCGCCTCCCACACAGCTCCTCTGAGAACTTCTGAATTAAAGTTAAAGAAATAGAGAGACCCAAAGGATAAGTTATTTATATTAAAAAGAGCAGTCACTGGCCAATTAATAAGAGTTCATATGAGTATACTGCAGAAAGGACTGTGAGTTCCACATGGTTCCTTTTAATCACACCCATCATACTCATACGTGATACACATTGTCACTAGTCTAAGAAAGCATAAAACAATGATGACCAACTGCATGGAAAAAATAATTTAGTTAAAGCAATAGCATCTCTTATCAGAAACTATACCTGCTGGACGGGAACACCTGAGAGATAAAGCAGAGGCTGCTGCTCTGGGCAAGCAGACAAGTTGTTTACTATGCAATATAAAGGTTCTTCATAATCCTTCCCAATTACTTTCAAAACCTCAATTCCTTCCATTCTGCTCCCAACCCCCTACTTCCTATGCTACAATCCCACTACTCCTCTTTCCATTCCCAAACATTCATTTTCCCCCATCTTCTGTGTATTTGAACACAGCATTTTTGTATCTAAAGCACCCTCTTCCCCCTTTCACCCCACCCCATTCATATACAATCTTCAAGATATAGCCCCCAAAATATCTCCTTTGTGACGCCTACTCTGACTTTCCAAGATAACACAAATTGCTCCTTTCTCAGTGGTTTTACATTTAATCCATTATAGCAGCAATCACAGTATATGACACTACTTATTTTTCCTTCTATGCCATTAGATTGTAATATTGCCAAAAATAGGAATCTTAACTTGTTCATATTATTAGGCCTAGCAGTTAGTTCAGCCATTTGGTAGGTGCTCATGTTGTTTTAATTTTAAAAAGTAATGAATGTAAAATGGAAGTAACAATAACTGCTTTATTTACTTTACAACTCATTGAGGAGCAAATAAGATATGCATATGAAACTACTTTGAAAAGTAGAAAGGACCATTTATATCAATTTAGAGGAGATGAGGACTACAAAGATGACTCTTACTATCTGATGGTTAATTCTCAAGTGGTTTTTGGGCTGGGCCCAGGGCCTTGCTGCTTTGTGCAGTCTCAGGACTTGGTGCATTGCATCCCAGCTGTGGCTAAAAGGGGTCAACACAGAGCTCAGGCCGGTGCTTCAGAGGGTGCAAGCCCTGAGCCTTGGCTACTTACATGTGGTGTTGAGCCTGCAGGTGCACAGAAGTCAATAGTTGAGGTTTAGGAACCTCTGCCTACATTTCACAGGATGTAAGGAAATGCCTGGATGTCTAGGCAGAAGTTTGCTGCAGGGGTGACGCCCTTATGGAGAATCTCTGCTAAGACAGTGTAGAAGGGAAATGTGGGGTCAGATCTCCCATACAGAGTCCCCACTGGGGCACTTTTTAGTGGAGCTGTGAAAAGAGGGCCACCATCTTCCAGACCCCAGAATGGCAGATCCACCAACAGCTTGCACCATTCACCTGGAAAAGCCGCAGGCACTCAATGCCAGCCCATGAAGGCAGCTGGGAGGGGGTCTGTACCCTTTAAAGCCACAGGGTGGTGCTGTCCAAGGCTGTGGGAACCCACCTCTTATATCAGTGTGACCTGGATGTGAGCCATGGAGTCAAATTGAGATCATTTTGGAATTTTAAGTTTTAATGACTGCCCTACTTGATTTTGGACTTTCATGGAGCCTGTAGCCCCTTTGTTTTGGCCAATATCTCCTAATTGGAATGGGAGTATTTACCCAGTGCCTGTACCCCCATTGTATCTAGGAGGTAACTAATTGCTTTCAATTTTACAGGTTCATAGATGAAGGGACTACCCTTGTTTCAGGTGAGACTTTGGACTTGGACTTTTGGGTTAATGCTGGAATGAGCTAGGACTTTGGGGGACTGTTGGAAAGGCATGATTGTGTTTTGAAATGTGTCCTCACATGAGATTTGGGAGGAGCCAGTGGCAGAATGATATGGTTTGGCTATGTCCCCACCCAAAATCTCATCTTGAATTGTAATTCCCATAACCCCCACAGGCCAAAGACTGGACCAGGTGGACATAATCGGGTCATGGAGATGGTTGCCCCATGCTGTTCTCACGATAGTAAGTGAGGCTCATGAGATCTGATTGTCTTATAAGCATCCGGCATTTCCCCCGTTTGCATTCACTCTGCCACCCTCTACAGAAGGCACCTGCTTTTCCTTTGCCTTCCACCATGATTGTAAGTTTCCTGAGGCCTCCCCAGCAATGTGGAACTGTGAGTCAATTAAACCTCTTTCCTTTATAAGTTACCCAGTCTCAGTTATTTCTTCATAGCAGTGTGAGAATGGACTAATACAGTTATCATTAGCCATTTCCTTTTCTGTAGAATCTCTTCCCATGAACTGAAAGGTGAATGGAGAAAGAGAAAATACAGAAGATTCAGTTATTTTTCCTGAGTACTTTTATGTGCCAGGCAGTGTGCTAAGTGTTGGAGAAAAGTAGAGAGAAGTGTTTCAGGTAGACAAACATGTGCAAAACCTTGTAGCAAAGATGCTGCTGCATGGCATCTGAGAATTAACAGCTTTGCTAGTATACAAATAGTATGCAATGAACATGTGGATAAGAACCAAACCAGACTAGATATCTTGGGCCATATTTTAAAAATTTGGTCTTAATTTTGAGAGTAATAACAGAAGCTTTTTAGCTAATCAACTCCATGCTAATAGATTAAATAAAAACTGCATGAAGAGCATCTTTGGAATCTAACTCCTTTTGCTTACTTCCTTTCTCTACCCATTGACTAATACCTACAGGTTTAACCCTATTCTAAGTTCTCAGAAAAAAAAAAAAAAGTCAATAGTGTTCCACTATCACATAGAGTTTCTCAGGAAGGACTAAAGAAATCTTATAAGGTAGATAATATACACTTAAGGGAGTATAAGTTTTAAGGAGGTGGTACAGCCCAACAAAATTCTGGACTCTGGATTTGGATCACCTGGCTTCAAATCTGGGCTCAAACACTTATCAGCTCAGTAGTCATGGGTTGGTCTGAGAATGCAATGACTTAACAATTGTGGCCAGTCCACTGAAAATAGTAAACAAATGTGAGGCACCCTCAGTAATTTTATTATTACTACTACTACAAATCTTACCATTATGTTAGAGAAAAGTTTAAATGTTTCAGACTCACACAGGTTCTTTGACTCTAAATCCCATATTCATGTTATCCCAAGATGGCAAGTTAAAGCTTATGCTGACTTAAATTTTACCACAGTTCCAATAACTGAGCTCCTGACTTATTTATTTTTATTTATTTGATTTTTTT